GTAAACATTATATGACAAGTAGAGGTTAAACGACTGCAGATATGTTATTTATTTTAAGGTTTAAAGTGAAGTCGTGTTTAACATTATGTAGACATATTCTTGGAAACGAGCTGGCAGCAGAAATCACAACAAAACGAAATGTTATAATTTCATAAATAAACGAGTCAACAATTTAATAATGCAATTGAAAACAAGGTAATTTATATGACAACTAAAAACTAATAAAATGAATGCCGCGATTTCAATATTCATAAGGATTCATTTTTAGGTGTTGTCAATAGTTAAAATGCTGAAAATACGTGAGTATTTGTACGTTTAGAGGCTGAAAATGCGTCAGTATTGTACGTTTTAGTGCCTGTAAAAACTTAAGTAAATGTACGTTTTATAGAACCACATGTTACGTAAAATACATACGAATTATCATGAGATCACGTTGCATCGTGGCCAAAATCGCACAGTGTGACTCTGGCTTTAGTCTAAGCCCTGTCTGTGAAACCAGGCCCTGATTTTTTTTATGTAAAACTTAAAAGCTGCACACTATTTTTAAGAGCTAGTGGTTCAGTCTCTATACACGTACCTCACACAGTTTCCGGTTCTGAATAAATTTGATCATGTGCATCTCGGCAGCATGTATTTCCTGTTTGCTCCATAGTATCTTCTTAACAGGACCTGTAAAAAATAAATAAAGCACATATGTTGCCATTTCAAAATGAGCACTTAATTACCACAAGCAGCAGTTTTACAGATACAGAACTGTACTGTCATTTTGCATTATTTGTTCAAATGCAACATTTAAGTCAATGCCGTCTTGGTTGCTGTTAAAGGATCATAAGATATAAGTGATGTTTTATTAACAAATTTCGGGAGGAGCAGTCCCTGAAGGCAGATTTTCGTGGCTAAAGTTAAACGACGTTATGACAAACGGATGTTGATGCCATGTTTTAACCACGAAGCAAACGTTTTTTCCTAAGTTTATCATCCACACTGAAATGTCAAAAGCGTTACATTCGCCTTCCTGTGCATGTATAAAACCTCACTGACATGATACAGATGGAACAGACAATAAGTTTCACTCAATTCTTCTTGCAGGATCAATTCATTTACGGAAATATTTCACCATTTATTGATACGCCCACGGCGCGCTCACTCATAATTGACCTAAAACGCAACTGCCCTCGTGTTTTGCCGCAGGACAGCAAGCGTGAGTAAGTTTTCTGTCGTCTTTTTAGGACTGTAATACGAAGAGCGTGCAAAGTAAATATCTTTAGCAACAGTGTGAAAGTAATAGCACATAACTGCAAAATTAGCTTGTATAAACAGGCCCGGATTAAGAACACATAGGGTGCGTCCGAAATCGCATACTGCTTTAGTAGGTACTACATTTTGAATTTGAACGTACTACTCGACCGTTAAAAAAAGTATGTTCTATATAGTATGAATGCGAGTAGTATGAATGGAATTCGGACGTACTACATCCGCCATGTTGATGTTGTCACGTGACATGCGTCGAGTCACTACTGCGCGAACATCAGCAATGTTTCACGTAATTCTTACCGCTTTCACCGTTAACGTTGATTGGATCAACCGCTCAGAGGAGGCGTCGGTCAGCTGCTCGCAGATCACAGGTTTTTTAGGATTACTGAAACTACTGTCATTTGATTTGTATTTATTTAAATTTTAGTTAAATTATGTCTATAGGTCTTTTAAGTGTAGTTTGATTTAATTTGAGTTATTTTAACTTCAACAAACTAAATGAAATATATTGAATTTATAAATGTGTGTGGTTGTACATACACGTATGTGTTTTTTTTTGGTGTTTGTCTTAGTGTTATGTTAGAATCGTTATTATACTCGTATACCTTTTTGTTCTTTACTATTTTGAATTGTTTTTAGCTTTATGAAATTGTTGCATGCATTTGTCATTTTTATTTAGTCTTTATTTTTAAAATGTGTATAAGTAGTATTTATAAAGTTTTAGCTTTTAGATTTGGATCTGTTTTTAGTTGTTTTAATACTACAATTGATTGCTCCTGTTGTCCTCATTTGTACATCGCTTTGGATAAAAGCATCTGATAAATGACTAAAAAGATCACGCCTTAGTCGACAGCTTGTAAATCATTTATCAAATAAGGTAAGTACAATCCCCTATTTAGCTAGCAAATTTTACCGCAGAATAAAAAGTCATATCTGTGAACACCATGACAGAGGCTCATTTGGAGCAACGAAATAAAGTAATTTATTGTTATAAATGCATAAAAATACACAGGACAAACAAAAGACATGAATCAATGAATGAACTCGAATGAATACATACAATATATACATAGCCTAAATAAATATTATAGATATAATATACATTCTAAAAAATATATACATATACACGCACATTTACAGACTGTGAGGCCTACTGCCACCTGAATGCTGCTGTGCCAATTCTTCGATTGTATTTCAAAGATTGATCAGACCTCCGGCTTTCACGACAGTCCATCACGTCCCTCATCGCTGCTTTGAAGTCAGATTCTAACCATGGCTGGGAAAAAGATGTTGAGGTGCTGGTGTTTCTCTACTGGCTGGCCCACGCACCATCGTACTCTTGATATTGTGCTTTTCAGACCCAGGATATCCAACAGTCAATTACATTCATTAGATTACTGCATTACTATGACATGGAAAAACATTAGCATGATTAAATCATGAATGTGGTGGCTTCCGCTGCTGCTGTGAAGAATCTTTCTCAGAGTCTTGGAGTTTTGATGCCAGAAGAGATTTTATTTTCAGAGACAATAAAACCTGAGAGAACTCTGCAGAGCAATCTCCCGAATCTTTTTCTGTACCCTCTTATATACAGTTTTTTCTCTGGGCATGTTCAATACATTTCATTCATATGGGATCACGATGCAATCATGAGACCTTAATTTTATGTTCTGTGAAAATAAGGGCCCCATTATGTGCCATCATGTGCTTATGTACTTCTCCACATGTCTGCACATTCCAGTCTCATACAGATTTCTATACATGCAGGCAAATACACATGATTATAATAGTGGAATAACTTAATACACAAATGGCTATATTCACATCGATTATACTTGAATCATTTATATTTTGATTAATTAAACTCTTCTTCATTCTCACCTTTGAGATTTACTAAGTCTCACCTTTACTTGTCTTTACCCAGAGTGCAGTTTCATAATCCAGTCTCATTAGTTATTACTACCTAGTGACTAAATTAAATCACAGTTTTATCACCAATGACTAGATTATGCAACATCACTCTGGCGGAGCAGCAGGACCAAACCTCTCCCCCCACACTTGACTTGGAGGGAGTAAAAGATCCCTTCTCCCTAATCCCTCATTTAAGATAAAACAATGTTATAAGCATGAGCGTGCAATTGGTTCAGCGCTTGCCTGTGGTTGTCACAGTTATGTAGTATATGTAACGAATCAGCTCATGACAGGAAATATGAATAATTAACCATAACTAGTTATAATTAACTATTCATATTTTAGATCCGCTGTAGATATTTAGCTGACCACTCAGGGTCAACTGTCTTGTCAATTCTAAGAACGTTAATTTCCTGGTTAAGGGAAATAACTTTCTTACTGTACAATTCTACAAAAGTTTGTAGCGTAAATCTGCATGATTAGTGACTCCGGTTATGAGCAAACAATGAGGTTGTTAGCCCTCTGTTTTGCCCGAACGTCACTAGAAATCTGATGTTTGCGATCTTCGCAATCAAGAAATCTCTTAAATAGGACCTGCCTGAAAGTGAAGTAGACCAAAAGATCCTCAAATGCTAGACATCATGCCGAGATACAAAGAAATTCAGAAACAAATGAGAAAGAAAGTAATTGAGATCTATCAGTCTGGAAAAGGTTATAAAGTCATTTCTAAAGCTTTGGGACTCCAGAGAACCACAGTGAGAGCCATTATTCACAAATGGCAAAAACATGGAACAGTGGAGAACCTTCCCAGGAGTGGCCGGCCGACCAAAATTACCCCAAGAGCACAGCGACGATTCATCCAAGAGGTCACAAAAGACCCCACAACAACATCCAAAGAACTGCAGGCCTCACTTGCCTCAGTTAAGGTCAGTGAGACTTTGGAGTGGCCTAGTCAAAGTCCTGACCTGAATCCTATTGAGATGCTGTGGCATGACCTTAAAAAGGCGGTTCATGCTCGGAAACCTTCCAATGTGGCTGAATTACAACAATTCTGCATCGATGAGTGGACCAAAATTCCTCCATAGCGCTGTAACAGACTCATTGCAAGTTATCACAAATGCTTGATTGCAATTGTTGCTGCTAAGGGTGGCCCAACCAGTTATTAGGTTTAGGGAGCAAACACTTTTTCACACAGGGCCATGTAGTTTTGGATTTTGTTGTCCCTTAATAATAAAACCCTTCATTTAAAAACTGCATGTTGTGTTCACTTGTGTTATCTTTTACTAATATTTAAATTTGTTTGATGATCTGAAACATTAAAGTGTGACAAACATGCAAAAAAATAAGAAATCAGGAAGGGGGCCAACACTTTTTCACACCACTGTTTTTTTTTTTGCCAATTAAAACTTATGATATGCTTATCATTGTTTTTCAGTATACCATAGAAACATGTGGAAAAATAATCTACAAATACTGAAGCAGCAAACTTTGCAAAACACAAAATGTATGTCACTGCCAAAACCTTTGGCCACGACTGTAGTGTGCAATAAAATACAGAATGGTTTTGGGATGGGGTGATATTTAAAACACAATAGTACATAGCTTACCTACAGTACACCCCTGATCAGGTGCTGGCTGCTTGAATTGCCTGCATTCAGCATTCAAATTTTATCCAATGTTTTCCCGTGTCTTTTCTAATCTCCTGATACTTTAGTTTTTTGTTCAGATTATAGTGCAGAATGGGCTGTCTGTAAAGTTTTTGGTGCTACACCCATTTATCCTTTTACTGTTTTTTAGGAACCCTTTTAAAGATGCAACACCACATGGCACACACTCTTAGATTAATTTGTTAATATGGGCTCTGAAAAACACACTACTCATGCCTCACTCATGCAGTATGTGCAAAGACAGGCCATATAACCCTAACCAGAATCGAAAGGTCAATAAAATCTATTATTTAGAATTGTTTGTCAATGTGCAACCCTATTAATCAGTTCTGACAAATGTTTACATGATATGAGTAATTCTGCAGGTATTGCACTATGATACACAACACAAAACAGCTGGTCTAGATTTAAATTTTGAACTCAGAAATCAATAAAACGTTTGTGGATTCTTTCACCTGTCTCCTGGTTTAAATTCGCGTGAAAACGTAGTTCTCTTTTTCTTGTGCTTTCTCTTTAGGTTGCGTATAGAGAGGGGGATGCTCTTTTTTCGAATCGGGCCACTCTGCAGTGAGGCTGTTGAGCTGGCAGAGGAAGTGACAGAACTGGTATCATCTGTATCATCCCCTGGCTCCTCATTTGACTCTTGTTCCCCCAAATGGGCCCATTGTCCCTGAAGAACATCCAGTGGTGGCTCTTTTCCCTCCTCCAGAGCATCCTGGCATGGAAAAGGACCATTGTTGGGGTAGCATGGAACAGAATTATCATCAGGACAGTCCTGTTCCTGCACTGATCTCTTTTCACCTGGAGAATAAGACATGGTTCAAAAGATTAGATGATTTCTAAAAAGTCACATAATCAGATACCTATTCAAACAGCACACTATATTATGTATAATGTAATGTATACTATATTATACACAACAATTATGTGGACCAGGCTGACTATAGACAATTCAGTTCAGTTTGTGTCAGACAATGACAAGTGCAGTACCTTCCGTGCCCTCCATTTTCTCTGTTGATTCTGAATCGTTACTCTGTGTGTCTGCATTTTCTGTAATTTTCTTTCCCACTTCCTTTTTATACATTCTTTTTAACTGAAAATGAACAAATAACAATGATCAAAAAACAAGAAACACCATTTCTTTTCATTTAGAAAACTAGTTAGTTTTGACTAACACCAGATTAGTCATCATATTTCAACTAATTGATTAAAACACACGTTTCAATTAAATACAAATTGCTTCGGGTTTATAATTCAAGATAGATATACAGTCCATAACAAGCTAAATTACAAGCAATAGCATAATAGAACACAAATGAAGTAAACAGTTTAAATCTTTCTAACAGTATCATGTACTGAAGAAAATTTTATCAGAAAAACAAAAAGAAACAAACATTAATACAGATTCAGTGTTGAAAGTTAGAACATTAATGTTACTGATCTTCTGTACATGTTTGATTGTAGATGTAACAGATATAACCACACCAACTATACCTTTCGAACAACAGGGTCCTCAGGGTGAGCAGGTGCCCCCTCTAGACCATCACAGGTGATCCGTATAGTTTCACTCTTGGCAGGAAACACATACAAGGCTCTCTCTCCAAGCTGCCTTTGAGTATGATCAAAGTAGCCTAGTCGCTTCACCCTGAACATAAGAGAAAATCAAGAGAAAACAAATCATCTGATTATAACATGTGAATGAGTAAACCTAGAGAAATAAGCAAGTAACAACTTGTCCGAGTGTCGTCTATTAGTAAATCATACTTTAATGCACTCAGTTTCCTTTGCACTAGAGCATTGAAGTGTGCTACAAAAAGGGTTGTCAATTCAAAATGAAAACAAAATGAATTTAACTAGTCCGCAAAAAAAAAAAAAAAAGACATTGGCTGAACTTTTCTTTGATACCACAGCAAAAACTGGCATTGTAACCACAGGCGCTGATTTATGTTTCTGCTGGTGGGTGCCCAACCTCCATAACACTTAACCCCCCACTCCATGTTAATAAAGGTAACATTAGCCAGCCTTATATCATGTTCTTTTTTTTTTTTATAGAATTTTTGCAGACATATAAAAAGGTATTACATCTGTTGCAAAATGAGATCAGGTGTCTGATCAGAAGAAAAGCAAGAAACAAAACGTAACAACAAAGAACCCCTCCACCCATAACCCAGCCCAAGGGCCACCGAAATAACAAACAAAAAATAAGAAAATAAGGATATCAAAAAGCAACAGACAATACAATAAAGTCTAATCAAATAAACCCCCCATAAGGGTCTAGTCAGAAGGTCCAGATGTCACAGTAAGGTTCTGAATAGTACATAATATAGGGCTCCACATTTTGTAAAAGGCCCTCAGTGATCCTTTGGAAGAATGTCTAATTTTTTCTAGGTGGATACACTGCAATACCTCTCGTGCCCAATCCTCATGTGATGGGGGAGAGGCATGTTTCCATTTAAAGAGGATAGCACGCCTGGCCAACAAAGTGGTAAAGGCAATGATGCAGTGCACTGCAGGTGATGCGATTGAAGTTGGGGAAAGGCCAAACAGGACAGTCAACGCGTTAGGGGCAATAGTGGTATTAAGGGCCTGTGAGAGTGTTCTAAAAATGTCAAACCAATAGTCTGTTAGCATTGGGCAAGACAAGAACATATGGAGATGATCAGCTGGAGATTGTTTGCATCTATTGCAGGCATCACTTCTGTTAGGAAATATTTTAGCCAGTTTAGCATTAGTGAAGTGAGCTCTGTGAAGCACTTTACATTGTATTAGGGCATGTCTAGCACAGATAGATGAAGAATGAATTAATCCAAGAATGTTCTTCCACTGGTCCTCCGATATGTCAATACCCAAATCTTGCTCCCAGGCTTGCTTAAGAGAGTCAACTGGAGATGGAGTAAGGGAAGTTATTTTACCATAAATGGTAGATATCAGCCGTCTTTGACCAGGGTCGAGAGTAAGAATTAAATCAAGTTCTGATTCAGGGGGCCGATTTGGGAAATAATTTTTGAATAAAGTGCCTCACTTGAAAAATATTAAAAAGATGGCTATTAGGAAGGTTGAATTTAACTGATAAAGAAGGGAAAGAGGAGAAGATTTCCTTTTCATACAAATCGTTCAACGTAAAAAGACCCTTAGTTGCCCAAATATCGAAAACCCAGTCTGAAAGGGACGGAGGAAATAAATGATTATTGGAAATTGCCATGTAAATGGAGGCTTTGTGTAAACCGAATTGTTTCTTGAATTGATGCCAGATCTTAATAGAATTAATAACTACCGGATTGCTTGAAACTTTGTGTAGATCAAGAGGAAGCTGAGAACAAACATTAGAAAGTAAGGAACGGGAGGAAGATATTTCTATGTGTAACCAGGGTGGGCTAGAATCACAGCATCTATGGCTAACCCAGTAAAGTAGCTTATTGATATTACATGCCCAAAAGTAGCAT